ATTTAGGTAGGAAAGCCAGTAATTAGAATCATGACCTGCGAGGAAAACAATAGATTGCATTTCTGGCATCTGACCTTGGCAGGGTGAAGGAGCATTTGATCTAGAATTGGACAGCTGAGCCATATTCATTGGCCTTTGTCAGTGTCCCACGTTCAGATTATGGATTTTATAAATGGATGGCTGGCCAGCCTGTAAGACTAGAAGGCTGCTGAGATAGGGGACTATGAGGATGATGGTGGCACAATTTTTGTGTGTCTTAGGAAGGAAACTAGAAAAACCTGTCTAAGCATTCTGTATGTAATAAGCCTCCGGGAATGTATTCTGCTACTAATAACCCTCTAAAATGAGAGTCAAGCAAAGACTGGACACTGAAACTAATCACTCATTTAATAAGTTGGGCTTTGATTCAGAATCTAAGGCTATGTAACATTGGTTTGTGTGGTAACCACTGACCCTCATTAAAATGAATGCTATGCTATCTGCCTTTCTTAAGACAAGCATGTGCTGTAGAGTGAGCTTGCACTTTCAAGTTTGCTTTTCTGAAAGACAGACTTTTTTTAAAAAAGTCCTTTTAAAATATTTTAGGAAGGATCCACCAAGTTATTCCCCTATTTCATAAACGAAATTACAATAAGATTGTAATTTTGTATCTCTCTTCTTTCTTAAATGCTTGTTTCTTTAGGTGTTTCTTTCTTTAGCTGTTAGCATGAATAGATTAAATGGTGACTTCAAAATAATTTGGTGACAGGTCTGTGAAGGATTGTAGAAAAAGCATCAGATTAGAGTTGGGAAACCCAATTTCAGATTTAGTTTTTATAGATGCTAGCTATGGGACTTTGTGTTGAGTTATTAAATATTTCTCAGCCTGAGTCTTCATGTATACAATTAGGACACTGATATACTAACTCTGCAGGTTTGTTATAAGGTTCACAGACAGTGAATCTAAAATCTATGGCTTAGTAATGGATAGTGCTGTAATCTGGCAGACCCTCATTTCTTTACCCTTGCAATTCAGTATCCTGATGGGTGGACAGTCTCCACAGTCCTTCCCTGTCCTGACACCCATGGTTGTAGTCCTGGATGTGGCTCTTCCAGCCCCTTAACCACATGCCGCTTAATATCTGTCTCCAAATTTTAACTAACTGTCACTTGTAATTATATAAAATTATACACATACGTTGTTGGAAGTTAGAGTCATAATAATAGATTGCCATCAGAAAATCCATATGGGGCATTTTGGAGTTCTATAGAATATTTCATCCTTTTTCTCAGGAATTGGTGAAACTAAAATTTACATTTAAAAAAAATATTCCCCCCTGAATGCTTTTTTAAGGGGGGATAGCTAGATACTTACGATTGGTCATTCTTGTTAATTCTGGGTGTTGGTGTGAACTTTTTCCAGAATCTAGAGCAAAGGGGGCTGGCCAGGGCTGGCACAGGTGTCCACAGTGCCCCACATAGCCTCAGAACCTCTATTTTTTTTCACCCAGAAATTTGAGTTTAAGTTTTTATTTAATATATCTAGTCATCTGAGTACTCAATAGTAGAAACACCTGGCACTTGCCCGCTTTCTGAACGCTGCAGAGTGCATGTTAAGAGCATGCTTCATACCTATTTCTTTTTTTTTTTTTGTCTTTTTTCCGTGTCCGGCAACGGATTGCAACCCTCAGTGTTGCCCCCGTACCAGACCGGGGACCGGCAACGGGATTGCAACCCTCGGTGTTGCTCCCGCGCCTCGCTCAGCCAGTGAGCGGGAACCGATCTGTATGTGGGATCCGAACCCTCGGGTGGGAGCGCCGCCGCGCTTCCCAAGCGGCGCACTATCCCATACCTATTTCATAGAGAAGGTGTTTTACTTTTTAAAGAATTGTAATTTCTGAACCATTAGTAGAGATGCCATTATTTTTTTTAAAAACCATAAAAGGAAAGGAGGATATGTAGTCTCTTGGGTAACATTTGTTTTATCAGATGCTCAGCATGTTGCCTATTTTCTTCTCTCAAATGCATCTTTGTGGCACCTGTAGAAATGCCAATTTATGACCCACAATTGCTAATGCTCATTGCCCAACCTGAACTGCAGTTCTTCTTTCATGGGAACGTACATGCAAAGCACTTTGAGTATTTTGAGTTATTTACTTATAGCAAAATACTGCTGACTTCTGTGTTTTAAAAACATTCTGGTGGAACACATGTATTTGTATCTTTTACATAAATACAGTTGGTGATTGCCAATTTTTAAAAAAATACGGTAGCTTTTAAGATTGTTCATACAGCATCAGGCAATACCTTTTATCTTGAACTTGCAAATAAAAACTCATCTGGCCTGCAGGTGCTGTTCTAGTTGTGCACCATCAAATCCTCTTTTTTACTGCGCATGATGTGGCATTTTACAGGTTACAGTGAGCCTGCCCCAGACGTGAGCTCTCTCCTCCTTGGACTCTGTGCTTTATAATAGTGAGAATACCCTAACTTCATAGCTTCCGATGTGTATTATCACATATCATGCTTACATCATCCCTGCCAGGGAGGGGTAGCTGGAATGTTATTGTGGCCAAAATAAAGATGGGGAACTGCAGTTGTTGGTGAACAGATTAAATTATTTGTTCAAGGGGCCGGCCCGGTGGCGCACTACGCTAGTGCGCCGCTTGGGAAGTGCGGCGGCGCTCCCGCCGAGGGTTCGGATCCCACATGCGGACCGGTTCCCGCTCACTGGCTGAGTGAGGCGCGGGGGCAACGCCGAGGGTTGCGATCCCGTTGCCGGTCCCGGTCCGGGACGGGGGCGACACTGAGGGTTGCGATCTGTTGCCGGACACGGAAAAAAAAAAAAAAAAAAAGACAAAAAAAAAAAAAAAAAAAAAATTATTTGTTCAAGTCACATGGTTGGTCACTGGCAAAGACAGAACTGAATTTGGGTCATCCCTGTCAACTGAGCATATCTACCAAGCCATGAGGAGGGTTCTTGCAAGATGGGTGCAGTCATTAGGGTTTTGAGGGTATTTTGCCCTAATTTTTTTTTTAGTAAAACTTTTATTTAAGAACAGTTTTAGATTTAAAGAAACATTGCAAAGATAGTACTGAGGTCCCATATACCCAATATCAAGGTTCCCCTATTGTTAAAATCTTACAGTATGGTATGTTTGTCACTACTTATGAACCAATATTGATACATTATTATTTTTATTCAGATTTCCTTCATTATGACCTAATGACTTTTTCTGTTCTGCACACCATATTACATTTAGCTATCATGCTCCTTATTTTCCTCTTGGCTATGACATTTGAGGAGTACTCAACAGGCCTTTTGTAAATGTCCCTTAATTGGGATTTGTCTGTTGTTTTTCACATGATTAGACTGGGGGTTATGGGTTTTGGAAGGCAGACCACAGAAGAAGGTACTTTTTCCATCATGTCACATCAAGGATACATACTTTGAACATGGCTTATCTCTGTTGATGTTGACCTTGATCACCCGGCTGAAACAGTGTTTGTCAGGTTTCTCCACTGTAAAGTTACTCTTTTTTCCTGTTTTCATACTTTACTCTTTGGAACAAAGTTACTATGCTTCAGCCCATTGTATCTATATAAATAATTTAAATTATTTTGAATAAGAGACTTGCCTACTTCTTTTATAAACCCAGTAAAACTTGCTCTACCATTTCTTTTCCTCATATCTGCCAAATGTTATATAATAAGGCATGAAATTGTGGCAGGACAAGATGGAATCTTAGAAAGGATAGGTAAAAAATTCACACCATTTCTGAGTTACTAGAAGTAGTTAAGAAAAGGTATGGGGCTGGCCCAGTGGCGCACTGCTACAGTGCGCCGCATGGGAGTGCGGCGGCGCTCCCGCCAAGGGTTCGGATCCCACATACAGACCAGTTCCCACTCACTGGCTGAGCGAGGTGTGGGCATAACACCGAGGGTTGTGATCCGTTGCCGGACACGAAAAAAGACAAAAAGGAAAAAAAAAAAAAAAAAAAGAAAAGGTAGATGCTGCCTCTATACTAGTGGGGGAGGGGACCATAAGA